TTTCACTGTGTCTCTTTTTAGTTTCTGTTTCCATGACCTGTCCATTGCTGAGAGTGGGGTGTTGATGTTTGCCACTATTATTGGGTGAGGTACAATGTGTACTTTGAGCTTTAGTAGGGCTTCTTTTATGAAAATGGGTGCCCTTGCATTTGAAGCATAGATGTTCAGAATTGAGAGTTCATCTTAGTTGACTTTTCCTTTGACAAGCATGGTGTCCTTCCTTATCTTTTTTTGATAGCTTTAAGTTGAAAGCTGATTTTATTCGATATTAGAATAGCTACTCCAGCTTGTTTCTTAGGACCATTTGCTTGGAAAATTGTTTTCTATCCTTTTACTCTAAGATAGTGTCTGTCTTTGTCACTGAGGTACATTTCCTGTATGTAGCAAATGCTGGATCCTGTTTACATATCCCATTCAATAGTTTGTGTCTTTTTATTGGAGAATTGAGTCCATTGATGTTAAGAGATATTAAGAAGTGACTTTTGCTTCCTATTATTTTTGTTATTAGCAGTGGAATTATGTTTGTGTGTCTATCTTCTTTTGAATTTGTTGGAAGAAGATTAATTTCATGCTCTTTTTAGGGGATAATTTCTCTCATTGTATTGGAGTTTTCCTTCTGTTATCCTTTGTAGTGCTTGATTGGTGGAAAGATATTGTGTAAATTTGGTTTTGTCATGGAATATCTTGTTTTCTCCACCTATAGTAATTGAGCGTTTTGCTGGCTATAGTAGCCTGGGCTGACATTTGTGCTCTGTTAGGGTCTATATGACATCTGTCCAGGATCTTCTGGCTTTTAGATTTCTGGTGAGAAGTCTGGTGCAATTCTGATTATGTCTGCCTTTATATATTACTTGACCTTTTTCCCTTACTACTTTTAATATTCTTTCTTTGTTTTGTGCATTTGCTGTTTTGATTATTATGTGATGGGAAAATTTCTTTTCTGGTCTAGTCTATTTGGAGTTTTGTAGGCTTCTTGTATGTTTATGGGCATCTCTTTCTTTAGGTTAGGGACGTTTTCTTCTATAATTTTGTTGAAGGTATTTACTGGCCCTTTAATTTGGGAATCTTCAGGCTCTTCTATACCTATTATCCTTAGGTTTGGTCTTCTTATTGTGCCCTCTATTTCCTGAGTGTCTTGGATTAGGAGCATTTTGCACTTTGCATTTTCTTTGACAGTTATGTCAATATTTTCTATGGTATTTTCTGCACATGAGATTCTCTCTTCTATTTCTTGTATTCTGATCATGATACTTGCATCTATTACTCCTGATTCCTTTCCTAGGTTTTCTATATCCAAGGTAGTCTACCGTTGTGATTTTTTTTATTGTCTTTACTTCCATTTTTATGTCCTGGATGGTTTTGTTCAATTCCTTCACCTGTTTGCTTGTGTAATTCTTTAAGGGATTTTTGTGTTTCCTCTTTAAGGGCTTCTACCTGTTTACCTGTGTTTTCCTGTGCTTCTCTAAGGGAGTTATTTATATCCTTAAAGTCCTCTATCATTATCATGAGAAGTGATTTTTAAGTCTGAATCTTGATTTTCTGGTCTGATGGGGTATTCAGGATTTGCTATGGTGGGAGAACTAGATTCTGATAATGCCAAGTACCCTTCATTGCTGATGCTTATGTTCTTATACTTGCCTTTCGCCATCTAGTTATCTTTAGTGCTACCTCCACTTACTGTCTCTGACTGGTGCCTGTCTTTCTTGTTATCTTGGTTGTGTTAGAACTCCTCAGAGTCCATCTGTCTCTATGATCCTGTGATCCTGAGATCCTGGGTGTAAAAGCTTCTGGATGTCAGGCTGCCTCTGGGATCCAGAAATCCTGTTGTGATCAATCTCCTGAAATCTGATAATCCTATGATCCTGCGTTCCTGAGCATTTTAGAGCTCCTGGGAGTCCACCCCTCTCTCGGTTTTGTGGGATTGAGTACAGAGCTGACTCTCAAGATCTGCTCAATGTTCAGGCACAGACCTGAAGGAACCAATGCCTCTTGTCAGGAGTGAGTTCCTGGATTCCTGTGGGTTCTAGTTACTCCCTATTTGGGGCGGGTGTTGCTGCCTCTTTACCTAAGGTCCTGCTGGGGTTAGAACTCTCCTTTAAGCTTTCTTATTGATGTAATACAGAAATATCAAGTATCCCATGAATGTGTCTTCATTTATTGGTCTTTTAAGCAAGTACCTTTGACTAGTTCTTCCTGTGAAACTCAAGGAGAATCTGTATATGTTCCCTAATGTTAATGGCTTTGCAAAGTTCTGCATATCTGTATACTTCTGTTTTGTTTTGTTTTGTTTTAAACTTACAGATAATTATATATCCTCTGGGGAATTCAGGGTAAAAACTTGAGGCAGGTACCAAAGGACATGAGCTGATATAAAGGCAATAGAAGAGTATTGATTATTGAATAATAGAAGAGTACTGATTATTGAATTGCTCTTTATGACTTGATTATCTTGCCTTCTTATACCACTACCAGCCCAGGGATAGCATCAGCCACACTGAGCTAGGCACTCCCATATCAATCGTCAATCAAAAACATGTACCACAGGCTTTCTCAGAGTGTGTTCTTGTGGTAAACAGAGATGTTCTCTTCCAAAATAACTCTAGCTTATGTCAAATTGACATAAAAGTAGCCAAATAGAGAAGAGAGTAAGGTTTTTCTTTTTCTTGCCGTAGACCCTTTTCTTTCCTTTTCTTTTTTTTTTTCTATAAGCAGGGAAACTTACGTAGCAGAATGTGATATCTATATACCTGAACACTTTGGTGCTTACGTTTTCTAAGATTTACATATTAAAATTAAATCTAAATGTCCAGCCAATAATTATCATCTGGTTTCCAAGATCAGAACTTCTCCTATTCTCCTTAAATCACTCAAATCAATGTTTTGATCTCTACCTAGACAGAATTTACCAAAACTGTTTAACACGTTCAAATATGGAACTTCAATTGTAAGCAACCCTTAATGTTAACTATTAATACACACAATGGTGGTGATGGCTGAGAAAGAATACTTCTGATTTGTATATTTATTTTATTTATTTATTTATTTATTTATTTAACCCTAGCTCCCCTCATATTCACTATGTAGATCTGGCTAGCCTTGAACTCAAAAAGACCCACTTGTCTCTGCCTCTGGAGAACTGGCTGTAAAGCCGTGTGCCACTCTCCTCAGCCACAGTGTTCTTAAGTGGCTCTTTGGTATGCTGAACTTTTCTTCAGATAGTAACATGTTGTTGGAGCCTCAAAGCACTAAGCCCTGAGAGAGAAGAGACCTGCTCACTGGTGTCCTGCAGACCTGAAATAAAAAAACTCCTAAGAGTTAGCTTGCCACAGCCTTGAGTAGCAAAGACATCTAGATTGTAAGTCACAGAGCAGTTGCCTTCCCTGTTAAGTCTCATCTACCCAAATAAAAAACACCCATATTAGGGTATAAAAACAAGAGTGAATTAAAAAATAGTTGATTTTCTTCAAAAGAAAATCGTTGTTATAAGCACTAATTAACAGGCTCTTTTTTTTTCTACAATCAGAATCTTCTGCTTTCCCAAGGACAATTCACTAAGTTCAGTAGGAACAAAGCACACACTAAACTGCTGATGCCCAGGCCAAATATTTAAAGAGAGATGTGTGTTTGTAACTACCCTATAAATTTTACTAACTCTTATATTGATCTATGATAATACTGATGCTCGAGACCTGTTTTATAGTTTTGAAACACACACACACACACACACACGCAAACATTGTAAGGCATGCTACAATTTCAGTTTGTTTTTTTAGGTTTATTTCGTCCTTTAAGATGGCCACTAAAATGCCATGTTCATAGAATATGTGTTTTTTGTAGAAAAATAGGCCTTTTTGGTTTTGTTCCTGTAATTCATTCCAAGTGATACAGACAGACCTATTCCCACACTGTGTCATTTGTATAGGTATCTAAAGCAGCAGAGGAAAGTAAGAATACGGTAAGCAACAGAGACCCATTCATAAAGGCTCACCATTTACCGGTCAAGTTAGGTACAGTGACCCCGCTCATAGCAGCCGTCGTCCCTCCCTACATTAGAGTAAGGCAGTGAGATCAAGAGTTGGAGGCTATCCTGTGCTATAATGAGAACTCTTTTCATAAAGTAAAATAGAAAGAAATAAAATAAAACCTTTAAAAGCCTAGTTCCTGTCAAGATTGTTTCTCTCTGGCTGGGGTTTTGGATGAAAGGCGCGCAAGAAGAACGCCAGTGGCGATGTGTGTTCCTAAAGCCGGGCGGCAAGTAGCTGAAAACTGTTCAACTGAGTGTGAATGGACTTCGCTCAGCTCTGTGGGAATGCTTTCAGGTTCATCTCCCAGTGACTGTTAGCTTTACGGCTAATTGGTCTAGTCCAATAACTCCTTTGTCTTTCCACACAAGTGATTCTTTCAAAGAAAAGTAAGGAGCACAATTCATAAAGTCACCCGATCAACCAGTTTGGTTAAATGGCAGCATTTATACTGCCATTCAAGTGACTTCAACAAACATCTTTGTAATTGCCAGTATGAACTTGACCTTGAGAAGCAAAGCCCTTGAGGATTACCTTGTGCATTGTTCGAGACTGTATCATCCGCCACCCAGACAGCAATAGGAGTGGGTTGTCATCACACTGTTTTCACATCCTGTTTTCAGGACGATCAAACATTTCCCAGTGCCATTTCGGAGGTGTCCCTTTCTTGGCTATATTATATCCCAAGAATGACTGTTTATTTAGACAAGTGTATTTTATAACTTGTCTGTTCAGTAAGTTTGGAACGTGCTACCGTTCTGCCAACGGGAAACATTTTACTTTCTCTATACTCACACAAAAGAAATTATGGCCAGATCTGCCAACATTCTGTTCTATGAAAACTTGCTGAATAGAAAAGTCTTATTCAATGCCATAAAGAAGAAAGGACACTCAAAAACAACATTTTCAGCCTGTGGGATGGAAGCCAGGACAGACCTGAAGTGTTTATTCAAAACAGTGAACCTCTAAGGAGCTCACCTGAGAAAATGCATTTGTTCCGGCAGCGACGTCAATTGAGGGGACCTGCGGCACTTCAATTTCCTAATCAAGACTAAGGCCTCTTTGTTAGGAGCAAGGCAGCTTCCTTCTCCATCGTTCTACAAATACTACAAACTATAAGTCAGATTTACAAAGAGAGCTATGAACCATCACATTGCATTGAACTTTGTTTCCTATAATACCCGCAGATAGAAACTGTCATGTTTAACATACTGCAGTCAATTTACCTTAAGGAAAGAGTGTAGTCTTTTTCAAGAGAAAGTCCTTCAATCACTGCTATTCACGTTCTGGCTGAGACACAGCAACATTGAGTTACCTGAGAGCTCCTTAGGAATGCAGAATCTCAGGCCTTCGTCCCACACTTACTCAATCAGAATCTGCGATGTAACAAAATCAAGTGATTTGTAAATCACATTAAAATTTGAGAAGCACTAGACTAAACAACTTCATGCTGACTCTTCCAGAGCCGACTGGCTTGTGTGCTTTTTGGATCAATGAGTCAGATTCTTACAGAGGAAGGCTCCTAAGTGCATTAATTAATGCAATCAAAACATCAGCAGTTCCCATATGCTGGACACTCAGCCAGACTGCTCAAAGCATGCAAAACTTTTACTTTAACAGAGCCTTACTAATAGCCTTCAGCAAATAAAATGCATGCTTTCTACAAAAATGTTGATGTCTTAGTCCTGTTAAATCTTTGCTGGCTCTGTGCAATTTAAACAGTTGGGGAGCCTGGATCCCCAGGATTACTTGTAACTGCGCTGCACACCACAATATGTCTGAGCTCTTCTCCTGCTCACAGAGGTAGATACTGCTAATCATAAATGGTATGAATTTGCAAGGGCTTTATAGTCATCATCTTCTCTGCATATCTGTTTCCAGATCAATCCCTGGGGGAGAAGCATTAAAACATTTAATTAGCAACAGAGAAAATAAGAAAATAATTGAAAATTTATGCTTTTGAGTGAAGGTTAGTTATAGGCCAAAACCATGTAGCTCTATTACTTGAGAATTAACTTGTCGTCTTATATTTACCTTGCAACTATAAAAGTGCACAAAGGGATTTGTGTGCAAACTATACGATAAACTATAAGGAAAACTCAATATGCCAGATACCTTTACTTAGAATTTATATGATATTATTATCCCAATTAATACATAAATATTAAGTAACAGGCTTATTCATTAATAAATCTCAGACTTCTGAAGGAATACACACATTAGAAAATAAAGAGAAATATTCTCTGCATATACACACAAACATAACAGGCCTGAAGTTAGTGATTTTAATAGTTGTCAAGTGAAGAATTAGCTACCTATTGATTGTGAAATATATACCATAGATATATATATTTTTAGTAATTTCTAAATTAGCCTTTATTTCCCCAGATCTGCTAAGGATATCTTGGAACTTTCCTTAATTGTTGCTTGGATCCTCAGGAATTTTAATTTGTTTCAGAAGCTATGACTTTTGTAGTTTTCCAAGGTTACATTAAATGTCTATAGGCTGTAAGAATACAAGGAACAACTTCCAAGCCCAGGTTGGCCTTGGTAGGAACAGAGTGACATGATTCCTGCCCCTGGACAGGACCCTAGTATGAACCTCCACAAGTGTTGACGGCTACTGTGGACATAAGGCTTGTTTGTGTAATAATGTATGTGTTTTCTGGACCCAACAGCAGTGGAAGACTCTCTCCTTGGAGGAATGTCCTCCCAGTTAACATTAATGACTCCATGATGATCAGACAGCAGAAATCTCAGCAAAATAGTAACACTGGGATCTTCAGGACAGCCCTTAAGGCTATGGGAAACAGCTCTAAGTACATGAGTTTGAAACTATTTATTTTCTCAACTCTACAAAACTAAGGATGGGGCTTCAAGAATTGAAAGGAACAAAATCAGCTGCACTGTAAGCCAACTTGTTTGAAAATTACTAAGGAAGGAGATAAAGAGATTTAGGGTGTGGTGATCACAGGAGATCCCACCCAGTGAAGTTTTTTTGTTTATGCTTACAAAGGCAGATAGATTCCTGAGTGCAAGATCAGCCTGGGACAGAACAAGGTTAGGCTCAGGTGTGGTGAAAATGGTAATTTCAGGACAGGGCCCTACCCAGCTAGTTTTTCTGTGTTTAACAAAGGTGAGGAATCTCTGAATGCTTTTATGATGTTAAGAGCAAATACATGATTGCTGATTGCTCTCTCCTAAGAATCAAAGTTCTGGAATAACAGGATGCTGATTCATAAGATAATCAAAAGGAAAACCTGGAGTAAATGACTGCATTGATATGTAAATTAAAAGACTGGATCCAAGTTCTGCAGGAGAGGAGCTATCCAGAGAATGTTAGGATAAAAAGAGAGAATTGCTTAGAGAGCTGAGACACAAACAAATACAGACGCACAGGCACACAGACACCTAGACACATACTGTTAGTATTCTGTTAAACTTCACCTCCACAGTTACCTGGCAATAGCCAGGTATGCTCCTCTCCACAATTATCTGGCAACAGCCAGGTAGGCCTGCACGCGATAAAAGGAGATGCTTGCTCCCTCCTCTCTCTCTTGGTGCCCTCTCTCCTCTCCGCTTCCCTTCCCCCTCTCTCCACGTGGTCACGACCGGCCTCTACTCCTCTACCTCCTCTCTCTCTCTCTCTCTCTCTCTCTCTCTCTCTCTCTCTCTCTCTCTCTCTCTCTCTCTCTCTCTGTGCCTGTCTCCCTCCCTCCCTCCCTCCCTCCCTCTCTCTCTCTCTCTCTCTCTCTTTCTCTCTTTCTCTCTCTCTCTTTCTCTTCCCGTGCTCGCTCCCTCTCTCTTAATAAACTCCCCCTCGTGGAACCATTTGGTGTGCTGGTCTGCTGTTATCTGTCCAAGCTGCGCGTGAAAATCTTACACATACACACATACACACACACACACACACACACAGAGAGAGAGAGAGAGAGAGAGAGAGGGGGGGGCATGAGGAGGGGAGCAGGAGGGTAGTAGAGGCAGAGAGAGAGAGAGAGAGACAGAGAGAGAGAGAGAGAGACAGAGAGACACAGCAAACGTAGAGGTAGAGGAGTAGAGGCCGGCCATGACCATGTGGAGGGAGACGGAAGGGAAGGGGGGAGGGGAGAGGGGCAGAGAGGGACCTGCAGGCAAGAGATCAAGGGAGCAAGAGAGAGAGGAGGGGGCAGGCAGCCCCTTTTATAGTGGGCAGGCCTACCTGGCTGTTGCCAGGTGACTGTGGAGGTGGAGTTTCGACAGAATACTAACAATACTAACTGATAGATACTATTATTCTTCAAATGATGTCAGCTAACTTGTACTGCAGAACATTCACTAATTCTAGAACTTCATACTTCTTCCAAGCCATATATGATTTTTTTTTATTCTCCGTGTGAGATTTTGACAGCTTATCTCACAATGAGTTAAGCTTTGTATTTTTTATTTCAGGTGTTGAAGGGTGATCCAATCATGTTTTGCTTCTAGATCGCATATTGTAGAAAGCTATAAATGCACCCTAGGGCTCAGTGTCTTCCACTAGAGATGCTGTCATGCTCTCTGCTGAATGATAGCATTCAACATCCTAAATTGGTTTTGCAAAACTGTTAAATATGCATCCCCATGAGTCACATGTATTGGTCTGGAAGGCCCTGTGTCCACTTCTGTGTATAATTTCCAAGCATGCTAATCTTAGAGAACCATGATAGCAGATGCAGCATTCTATCATACTAAGTGAAAACAATAAACCCTTACACTGGCACGAACTAAATTCCTCATGGGTGTTACACTTAATTCTTTTGCTTCCACTTCCTAATGATGTGGGGAGTGATACAGTACTTAGCTTGTATAGATACTGTGGAGATTAAATAGGAATAGCGTGAGACTCTGAAGCATTCAACCTGGCACTTGCTAATTATATTCATAACACTAATAACCATTCGTTATTGAGGCCATACCTAAGTAGGGCTAGGGAGATGACTCAGGTGATGAAGTATTTGTCATGCAAGAATGATAATCTGAGTTTGATCCCCAGAATCCATGTAGAGATGCCAAGCATTTTGGTATGCACTTATAATTCCAGTGCTGGTTAGCAGAGACAGTTGGATCCCTAGAGCTCATAGCCCAGCCAGCCTGGTCTGATAGTCAAGTCTCAGGCTAGTGAGAGACATTGTCTTAGAAAACAAAACAAACAAACAAAAAACAAGGTGGCTTGCTCCTGAAGAACAACACAAAGTTGTCCTCTCACATCTACATGCAAACACATGCACATGTAATTACATACAGACCTACATTCAGGATACCATCCACCATAAGTAGCACATTTAAGTAGGTGCAAATTATTTACAAGGAAAACAAGTATCATTGTGTATGCCCATTTGCTCTGATTAATAATTACCCATAGTTACTTGTTAATTTAAAAACTTCAAAAAAATAAGTGATCTTAAACAAGATGATTGTATGTTTAGTACTACAGACTTAAGCAATGCTCAAATTATCCACTGTGAAGTGTTAGTTTTTATTCTGTTTTAGTCTGTCTTGGGCCCATGTAAATGAGCACTTACAGTAACATGCAACCACCATTCCCTCTAAATGCAACTCAAGAGGGTCTGCTTGAGCACACCTTTAATCCTAGCATGGAGGAGGAAGAGACAGACAGCTCTCTGTGAATCCAGGGTCAACCAGTTCAACCCAGAGAGCTCCAAGACAGACAGTCCTCAACAACAAAAACAAAATCAAACAAACAAACAAAGAAGCAACAATAGCAAAATGATGGCCTATAATCTGTTAAATGAGAGGAACTCGTTGACTTTGACATTTCTTATCCCAACACACACATTTAAATTAAGGCCATTATGATGCATTTATGTACTTGCTGGTCCTTATTTGGTAAAGGTGAACAATAGGACTGTGATTTAAAGCTCAAATATTCAAAATGCATGCAGCAGCAACACAGATACTCACATATCTTTTGACAGCCATTGGAGTTGTATGCTCACTCTTGTATACCTCTCATTGTGAGCCCATCGCTGACTCTGTTCACTGCTTACCAACACACAGTCCAATGCCAATCTCTATAAACCTTAGGCTTCATATTCAGCCATTTTCTGCAGCATACACTGAACAGCCTTTGATGTTATCCTTTTCTACATATTGTTTTGTGTTAAGCTATCCTGAAAATAATAGGGTGACTGTGAAAAATGGAGTTCAATAGGAAGGTTATTTGTTTTAAGTCAATCATCTAAGGACATTTTGCAATGAAAGCAATGCAATATTATTGTTTCCCATTATTTTAAGAATTTGCAGGGATTTTTTTCAATCTATAGTTAGAGGTCAAATCCATTCTCCCATTAAGAGGCAGTGTAGCC